CATTCTGAAGCAACTACGGCATGTGTATGTCCAGAAAATGAGAAATTCTAGTTGCTTTGAAAAAGGGGATGGGAAAAATTATGGATTCTCTCGAAAGAAGAATCCCCGACACGACGCAAGAGCAGATGAATCGTTCGGAGAGACAGAATTTACTATTCTCCGCCTGTTTAGCTGCCTTTTACCAAGGTGATGCATTTGAAGCGTCAAGAAACAAAACGGTTATAAGTTCAGAATTGTAGAGACGTGAGGGGAAATGTCGTGGCCAACTATACAGTAGTATCCTAGGTAATAGCCTTCATGACCTTTTCGAAGAGTTTTCCCACCAAATTTTGCGCGTTTTTGTCAAAATTGTTGTTCGCTCTTATGTGGTGAGGCAGAGTGCTGGATTGTCGGTAGGTCCCGTACCGGCTAACGGACCTCGGGTGCTAATGTGGTCCCGTTTCTTCTGCTCCACGTGTGTTTCACATGTCTCGCTGGGTATTCAGAAGTCAAGATTCCTTTATGCTCGAAGATTTTGCAGTCCTATGATGACAACTGAAAATTCATCACCGTCGCTGGACTGTACCGTTCCTATAAGGCCAATTTTAATATTATTCTCCCATGTTCATATTGATATCCTAGTACTCTCTGTTATGTCGAGTAAATCGAGCAAGAAACCAGCAAAAAGCAGGCTACAAGAGGTCGCCGACCAATATTTTATACCATTCTTTCGTCTCTATCAATCATGCTACATGTCTCGCCCACCTCATCCATCCCCCTTGATATCATTAAGGGCACAGAACACTTGACGGCCAGCGTGTCTTACCCTCTGCCCTCTGAAGCATAATCAGAAGGTCGCAATTTGAAAGGACTTCCAGCTCAAATATTCACAGCCTATATTGCCTAGGACAGGGTGTGATATTATCCTTCCGTCTACGGCTATGATTTTATGTGTGGCTTATTTAACGACGCTCTAATGCATATTACAAAACGTAGAAAAATGGATGACAGTGAATAACAAATTGGAAGGGACATGAAAGGGGCCAAGTTTAAGGCAATATCCCGGCATTTGTCTGGAGATGCTTAGCAAAAGGGAAGATAATGAGTACCTTCCGTATATACATTCAAACCCGATTTCGCTGAAGCTTGCGTGTGGGGGGAGTGGTCTTCTAAGTGGAATTTTCGTTCCATATTATCCGTGGAAACAGGTTTATAAGAATATATTATATCCGCCATGCATGCTACATTTCCGGCCATCTCGTCCTCGGTTTAAACACCGTTAAGATCATCAGAGGGTTAATGCTGTAAATTTGTCTCCCGATAAAGTCTCCATTATCTCCACCAGAAGCGATAACGGGAGCTGAGATAGCTCAGTGAATATGGTGACCTGGTGACTGCCGAAATCGGAGATCGGTTCCTCGCAGGGGCAAGAGATATGTTACTCAGCGTGTAGATGGGTAAACGGAGTAAGGCAGCCTATATTAAGAATTCGTGGAGATACATGTCAACTCCTCCATACGTCATCATGACGGGATGCTTAATTAAGCACAGACACAAATTTAGCTCGGCCTCACCCGTCAAATTTTGTGTATGTGCGCATTGAAGCGCATGACTTTTCACTTTTGACTGCTGATATTGTGATAGCTACAGGACACTGAAGGGTTCTCTATTTGCCTAGGGGCAATGGGCGTGTCGCTTACTGGCACCTGCAATATCACACGGTCAACATTAAAAGAGCCTCCGAATATACTCCCCAGAGTTGTTTCTTTTAATTCGGTGAAGGCTTTAAAGCACAGTGGTAACTATAATTACCGCTTGATTGTCCTTTATAAAATTCTTCATTTTCCTCACACCGTGTATTTGTATGTTTCGTTTGATTCTCATAATAAACAGTGATTACTTTCCAAAACACTTTCATCCATCCGAAGCATGTTGCTAGCCTAAATACCCAAAATCTGAGTTCATACCTCACAAATAAAGCAAATGTCGCCACTACACAGACCAATTCGTTAATTCTGTCTGAATCATACAGAACATATTCATACACTCAGTGGGAGGAACTCGGAGTTTCTCGACGTTAAAGCCGCTGGTACACACTCTCACCTACTGTGCTTCAAGGGGGTTTAACCGGTGGTCGCTCTCAAAGGGACATATTGTGTTTTCTGTGAGGTACGAGCTCAGGTACCTGGACTTCACGTGTCAAGACTTGGATTATACTCGTACACAGCTACAAATGTGCAGTGTCGACTTTGAATCAATCTGTTCGCCTCACCTGCGCCCGCCCATGCCTAGTGGACTGACTCCAGACAAGGCATCCCGTTTTACCCTACATCAGCTGACAGCAAGGACAGTCATTCACCGTACGCGCAACACATGATGGTACCAGTGCTACTCAAACAAAACATTTCCGGATCTGTTGGACAGCTAGACTGCATCCGAGCAAGCGTCGACAAGCGGGGCGGCTGCCCAATTCACTGGCACTGTTTGAAGCAATTGTCAGTGTTTCTATACTTACAAACCGTGTCGAAGTAAACTGCCCGTGAATTTGGTAATTTTTGTTTAGCATCAGATATTTAACAAACTGCAATCTTTGCGAAGTGTAATTACAGAATGTTAAAGGCAAGGAGTATGAGATGGATAGGGCACGTAGCATGAATGGGGAGAGGAGTATATATATATATATTGGATTTCAGTGATAAAATCAACAGAAGAGAGACCGCTAGGAAGATACAGAATAATATTAAGGTGAATCTTAGAGAGGTAAGATGGGGTGGTATGGACTGGATTGATCTAGCTCAGGATAGGGGCCATTGCTCTTGTGAACACTGTAATGAACCTTCGAGTTCCATAAGTTAGAAAATTCTTGAGTAGCTGCGCAACTGGCAGCTTCTCAAGGACTCGCCTCAACGGAGTTAATTGTCGAATATTAAACAGCATTAGATTAAATTAATTAAATTAAATTAAATTAATTTTGTGTAATACTTATAACCAGTCAGTCAGAATATTTAGTCTTCCCGTTTGTCGTTTAAAAAAGTAAAAAAAAGATGAAGTTGTCCTTGTGCTTAACGAATTAAACACTACGCCATGAAGGTGTATGGGGGAGCGGATGTATATATCTACATTTTCTTGACCTCGGCACTAGCTGGAAGTGAGTGATCAGTTTCACGCCGCGACCGCTTTACCCCCGGGGAAATAATCCCCGATACCAATTGAATAGGAGGTTTGGCGGACCCCAGAGCCGGTCTGGAAGACATGGAGAAGTGAAAATCTTGACCCTACATGAACTCCAACTCCGACCCCTCGGCCGTCCAGTCAGTGGTCAGTCACTAAACCGACTGAGCTATTCTGGCTCCCTCATAATTTATATACTTGGCAAAATACTGTGAGAATGCCGGAAAGGAAAAATTCACATGGAATTTTGGTCTGTAAAACAGAATTGGAGATCACTTGAAAGATGATACGATAATACAAAAATGAAAATTCAACAGAGTTAGAACAATATTCAGTTGGCTCACCATGTGGGCTACGGGTGGGTGCTTGTAAATACGCTATGGAACCTTCGGATTTCGTATAAGGCGAAATATTTCTCGATTTGCTGAGCGACTATCAGCTTCGGAATAAGAATTCTGCACCATGGAGTTACTCAGTTTATTTCGATGAAGGGACCTGAAGTGAAATGTAGTCTGGCGCCCACTGGAAGAACGAAAGTGCGCAGCCTTCAGCAAGGAAAGAACACATTCAAGTCCAGTCTGAACCGCCACCTTACATCTCCTTCCTATATCGTTAAAATGACTTATCATGCAATCTCGTGCGTTCTTCTTCGAAACCACAGCCTTCTGAGGGGTTGGTCTAGCAAAAAGATGAACGTGTTACTGTTTCTTACGTCCGAGTTACAAGTTCTATTTCATCAAAATCCCATGAATTTGCTGTAGAGACCTCTGTTACTTGGAGTGATGTACTCATGAATATGGGTAAGGGATAAATCATAAAATTCGTCTACTCACCATTACACTTCTATAGTATTTGTAACGCATCAAGATTACGGTCATCTAGAGTGTGACGCCCTGTAGTTTAGTAGTTTTGGGTGAACCATCTTAGTGATGCAACATGAGGGCAGCAGATTCTTCCGAAACGTTGGTACATATATACGAAACTACAGGGCGTCACATTACAAAAGACCCGTATCTTGACACAATCGCAAAGCCCCCAAATCTTTCATATGTAAAAAGACAAAGTTCTCTCTGTACTTAATTAAGCACCAGGCCATGAAAATACATGGGGGAGTGGAGGAGCTGACCATTCTTAGCCTCAGCACTAGATGGAGGTGAGTGGTCGGTTTTACGCCCCGGCCGCTTTGTCCCAGGGGAAGGAGCCCGCAGGACCCATTGGATATGAGACTGGGTGGGCCCTAGAGGCGGTCTAGAAGCTGTGGAGTAGAGAACAATCTTACCCTTGCCGGGAATTGAACCCACGCCGTCCAGCCAGTAACTTGTCGCTATATCGACTAAGTTATCTCCTGTAATGTTCCATATGTAACGTGCAGTAAGTGATATCAATGCAGCACAGGAAACCTGTACTAAACTCTCTCTGCGATGTTTGTTGCGCAAATCAAAAGGACCTATGGAGTCGGGATAGCTCAATCGTGTGGACCACCTGGGTTTGACTCCCGACAGTACAACATATTCTCTTCTCCACAGCATCCAAACAGACTCTGGGCCCACCCAGCCTACTATCCAATGGGTATCGGGGCTTTTCCCTGTGGGTGAAGTGTCCGGGCGTGAAATTTGACTACTCATCTCCATCAAGTGCAGATATCAAGAATGGTGGAGTTATACCTCCTCTCCCACATGTCTTCATGGCATAGTGACTACCTAATTAAGCACATGGGCAACTTAACCTTTAATGCTCTAGGCACGTAGCATGCATGAAAACTTAAAACTCTACACAATTTCATAGAAAGAGGCCACTGTCAGACCAAGACGAAGATGTGGGAATATTAGCGAAACAGCTTGTGAACTGACCTGAGAGGAAGCTGGTGGCGATGGACTCGCCGTCCTGACCCTTGACCCCGACCACTGTCACTGCCATAGCCGTCAGGGCCACCAGCAACACGACAGTCCCCATAACTCCTTACTGCACTCACTGCACCTACCTGAGTCCAGGGCAACACAACACTGACTGGTTCGCTGGCTGCTGAAGAGGTCGGTCCTACGCGCATCCTACAGCGCAGCTGGGGGAGGGGGGACCCACAGGGAAACGAGGGTGAGGATCGAACCCTGGATATCCGGCACGGTAATCACCGGAGTGACATCAAAACGTGCATGTAAAACAAAAAAAAGTAAAGGTATTCCTGTAACAGGCCGCGGCAACCCATAGGGTTGTGAGACGTCGAGGCTCCCACATTTCCTAGATAATCGGTTCACAGATGGCGGTGATATTCAAAATGTTAAGGTAAGGTAAATTTGGCTCTGTGCTTAACTAATTAAGTACTACACCAAGAAGGCGTATAGGGGAGTGGATGTATAGGTCCACATTTTCTTGACCTCAGCACTAATTAGAGGTGAGTGGTGAGCTTCACGCCCCCGCAGCTTTACCCCTGGTACCATTGGATAGGAGGTTAGGTGGACCCCAGCGCCGGTCTGGATGACATGGAGACGTTAAAATTCTTGACCCCACTGGGACTCGAACTCTGACTTCTCGGTCGTCCAGCCAATAGCCAGTCGCTATACCGACTGCGATATCCCGGCTCACCCAAAACGTCCAAGTATCTTTGACATTTAGAACTAAGGAATCGCCTCCTCACGTATATTTTTGCGATATGAAAATCGAAGTTTCCACTTCTGTTGCAGCAGTACGACAACGTTACAAAAGTGGGAAATTTGGCCACATAAGTAAATTTTGTACGAAGGAACAACAATGTTGTTAATGCGTAGAAGCAAAACCTGAAGTATTTTCTGTTAAAAATGCCTACATTTTAATGGTAATCGCAGAGCAAACAGCGAGACATATCCAGCAATTGAAAAACAAAAGTAAATCAACCAAATCTTGGCTCATATAAATATCGGATTTTTGGAAGCATGGAAATTTGTTGTAAAATGGTCACAACGCTGGCGGTCGAACCCTGCCATTCTCTTCAGGTGCTGAAAACCTCCGAGGGTATGTTGAGCCTAATACGAGGAACTTCTCCCTCTTAAAACGCAAAGACGAAAGGAGTGAGATAACGCAGAGACAAGTGAAAGCAATGAAGCCCCGAGCCAGCCGAGCTGATGGAACCCCTAGAGAAGGTAATGGAAGATGACGGTGGATAACAGCAGGACTGAAATATCTGAATGATCTGAACCAAGTCCAAACAATGTAGAGAAAATGAACAGTTCAAAAGACCAGACAGTATTAGAGAAATCTTTAGACGAGTTGGAGTCCATTCAGATGGAGGACGAAGTCAGTAACATATTGGTGACAAAAATCAACTTAGCGATAAACTCCGGGATGCTAAAGCAATTGTCAGACACCAGTGGAGAGCAGTCGAGCTTCACGAACATTACAATAAAATTCAACGGGGAATCAACCAATTAAGATTGTCCAATGGAACTGCAGAAGCCTATGAAGCTATGATAGAATACATATTTACAAGAATGTGCTACAGAGGGTCGGATGGGCATTGACTAGGCCATTTTTATATATACATTTATTTTTCAAAATAAAAGAAGCGTATGTGAAATTAACCTTCTAGAACACACTGCACCATCTGCTTTGCGTGCTTTACCATTCATAACGAAGCGAGTTGGCATAGCTGTAAATCTCTAGTCTCGTGTTCGGTGTTTTATCAGTTCGATTTTCTCCATGCCCTTCAGCTTTTCCTAGTTGATGTTTCCCTCAGTCCTCACGCAAATGCCGGTGTAGTATCACGATTAGGCAGCGACCGTTTCCTTCCTAATTATTTTCAATTCGTCAATCATCCTATCATTCAACGTTATAGTTTAGCTATTAGCTTAATCACCATACCATGAAGATTTATAGAGTCGAAGATATGCTCCACGTAGTCTCAGCCTCAACACTAGATGACAGCCATATCATGTTTCTCTTCACAAGCACGCATAACAGGATCTTTGGAGATACAGGGGTATGTGAACTTTAAAGAATGCCGTCTTCTGGGATGTGGCACCATGTAGATCTTTTGTGAACCGACTTTACGGAGGAACGTATCGCCTCCATCTTCAGGGCACAAAATTCCGCAGGCAAGGAAGCGGCTGCAGACTGAGCCACCAGTCGAAAACACCCAGCTATATAAGAACAGGAAGGGAAGAGTGGGCCACATGGGGAACGTATAGAGAGGAGAAGGGAAGGGTCTGTAGAGACTGGTGAGCAGGTAGTTTCGGGAGGGGGGGAGGAAGGCAAGGATACCGAGCAAGCATTGACCCAGTAGCCTTGGGGCTAAGCTGCCGAGCGTGCATAGGCCTGCGTAGCCATGTAGATCTCGCGTCATATCCAGGAGGTTTCTTGAGGGAGCAAAGGAGAGGCTTCCATGACTTGCTGAGACAAAAACCCACCTCTCTGTTAATATGGTTGGGACGGAGCTCAATCTCAATTGCCTCCCTAACGATCTACTCTGGACACGGAGGTTATACGTTCCTCTGAAACGTCGGTTCACACAAGATCTACACGGTGCCACATCCCAGAAGACGGCATTCTTCATAGGCACTCCCATGAAAACTTCATATCTGACATATGTGAACTGTGTTCACCTTTATACAAGTACTGTTCTGACACTTTTGGAACACTGCCATTTGTAGTGCACTGCACACTTCTACATGCTGCACCCAAAACTGTGTAAACATTTTTAACATTTCTTGTCCATATATTGCACTTCAATGATGGCATGTGTTTGGGCCCAGTAGCCTTGTCTGATTCTTTTCCATATAAATATCATTATCACAAAGCTAAAATCCACCCACCAGTGCTGTAGTACCGAGAAATTTAAAATCCCTGTTCCTGGATAATAATGGTTGGAGGTAAGAAAATGCAAGGGGTGAACTCAGCATGTTTCATACAGGGTATATATATACAGAGTGTCCCTGGAGGAATGGACCAAACTTCGGGTGTTCCTTATGTTAAAGTACGCCGATATAACCCAAAACACCTATGTCCAAAGTTGAACGGTTACGGAGATAATGGCCAGAGAAGTGTCAAACTTTGACCGGTGTTACACACTTCTTGATTATAAAATACATATTAAAACTGGCAGGAATATGTGGATTCTGTAATGTTAATAATGTACGTAACATCAAACTAACTTGTGAGTGACATGAAGCCATAAAATTGAAGTACAAAATACTCGCTCGCCATGTCATAATTGTCATTAGGGTTTCCAAGCACTATACATGACACATGAATGGCAAGCGCTGATAACATGACTGACTGCGCGTTCTGGTATAAACCAACTACATAAGTACGGCTAGGGTGAATCACCGCACTCAAGGACAAACATAGATAAGGCGTCTCAGCTGACAGGTACAGTGTGTGGACCCGCCAGAAGACCACACTTTTCTCGGGCCATTATCTCCGTAACCGTTCAACTTTGGACGTAAGTGTTTTGGGTTATATCGGCATACTTTAACATAAGGAACACCCTCCCAAAGTTTGGGCCATTCCTCCTGGGACACTCTGTATATATGCCCACTTGAATAAATGTGACAAATGGCTTCGCCACAAGGCAGTCCAGTCTGGTGGAAACGTTAACAGATGGATAACTCACACAATGGAGGCATAATGGCATGGCAGGAGCTGTTGTATCAGATACTGCACATGAGAAAAAATAAGTGAATTATATAGATCTAGATTATCCTAGTGAAACTTCTGAGTGGCTGTGGTCAATAAGGGAAGCCAGTGAAATACCTACCCCCTTTAAGGCATACAGGCAGAAAAGACTACAAGATGCGCCCTAATTTTATGTATGATTTTCCAGGGAGAAAAATGGACCTTAAAATTCCAAAAACATGTTAATTCTTTCAGTCCAGTCCTAACCTACAATGACCTTTTGGCTGAGGCCACATGAGTGCACGAAGTACATCCGTTGCAATGAACATACTTTATGATGGACATTGCTGAGGACACCACACAGTTGCAGAATGCTGTGCGTAGTTTCTTGTCTGCAATGGAGCCAGAAGAAAGCATAGTAATCGCCTCTCTTGTTTATTTCTACAATGGACTTATTTTGTGTGCTCCTGTGGCCCCACACTTATATATACACAAGTACAGTATATAAACATCAAAATGTTTCTGCAAGCATTTTGTTTAAACATACAATTCATTCAATTATGATACAAGTAGGCCTCTAACTCTTAAACACTTTTGAAAATATTTTCCATCTGACACCAACATTTTTGTCAGATCAAGGCCAAATAATTCTAGTCCTCCAGAAAGTTAAGTATAGTTCAAGCTTAAACCACTGAACAGGTTGGTCCAGTAACATTCTGTAGAATTGCATTCACATGACACTAGGAATCCTTAATGATGTTCCTCATTGTTTTCCTCAGCATCTCCAAGCAAATTTGAGGACAATACCTTTATTAGGCCATGAACACGCTATTACCAAATACTTTCCAATTCATTTCCAAAACATCGGAGAAATTCTATGGCACTACACAGCATCACATTCCAGAGGGCAGAACTCTTCTGTCACTGCTCTGAGAACCACAAATTCAACACAAAACATATAATTTGCAAAATATTGTAATGGATTTGATGACTGTGTTGCCAGGAAACAACTCTGTAAAAATGGTGCAACATGCAACAATAGAGGAAGCTGCATTTTCTGTAGATCCAACCGACGTGCCAATAGACTGGCTGGATAGCGATCACATGATATGGTTCCTGTGATGCGTGTCTGTTCCACAGCTATATAAGTGAGAGCATAGAAGAGTACAGGAAGTCAGCCTGTGAAGATTTAACATGTGATTTGAAGACTTTATGTGTGCTATAATGCAGTGATATTGAGAGTGTGAAATTTAGAGAGACTTCTATAGTTCCTGTGTTATAAATCCATGAATACTAGTGGAGATATACTGAAGAGATTAGTGTGGAGTGCTTTTTAGTGCAAAAATCAGGTACAGTGTTATAATTAATTGTAGTTAACACCTGTAGGTTGTTAATAAATCCAATTACCAATCTGAGCCACATCTTTAGTCACTCATACAAGTAATAAAATGTTTATTTTTAGGAGCTACATCTTTCTTGTATCAGGCCTGGGTGTGCTTTAATGTTTGTTCATGCAATCAAACCGCATATCAGCATGACCCCAACACTAGTCAGCTCAAATGTCTGTCAAATGGTGCAAATAACCCACAACTTTGCCCACTGTTTAACATGTTCATGGAGTGTACATGTATATTTACATGTGTACACACATCAAAGAGCAATTAGCAAAATGTACACATAAATCTCTTTTTGTGATCTACATTTCTACCACAGGATGACTTACTCAAAGGAATCCTTGAATTTTTAATTATAAATCATATATATAGTTAGGTAGACTGCCTCTGTGGTCTAGTGGTCAGAGTTCCTGGCTACAGATCCAGAGATCCCGAGTTCAATTCCTGGCAATAACAGATTTTCTGAGAAGTAGTGGGTCTCAAACAGGGCCCACTCAGCCTCATGAGGATAACTGAGGAGCTATTTCAAGAAAATAGGGGCTCCGGTCTAGAAAACCGAGCTTAACAGCCATAGGGGTCTGTTGCGCTGACCACGTAACACACTCTATCCACAAAAGTTAGCACTAACTTTGCCAACAAATGACAGTCGCTCAGTCAGTATAGTTCACTTTTGGACTACAGGCCAAAGAGTTTGTTTGCTTGTATATATAGTTAGGTAACATATCTGTCAACACTACAAAAATGGTTTTATAATCAATCAATATTTCATAGACTGAGTTTTAATGCTTACCCTACATGTTTCGGACCTCACGGGGCCATCATCAGGCAGTAAGAAAAAAGATAATGATATAATTTACTGACACAAACGAAACTTGGTGACTACATTTCCTGCTGGGTGTTGAGATAATTGGGTAACAGAAGATTCTGATATCAGCTTCCTTCTGTCTGCAGATACAGACTGTACGTTTGCAAATGTTGCAGCCAGCGAAACACAGAAACAGAGCCTGAAGGAAATGTGAGGCAGGTGGGCACTGTCAGTGTTGCAAGGTATACAGTGCTTACACATTTCGTTCTCATCAATAAATTGTTGTATCATTTATAATTACTAATTGCACACCTCCTCCGAGTGAATAACTCTGTACAACACAGTTTTACTGTATAGATAAGGCAAGAAAATGAAATTACTAGGTAAGTTACAAATTACATAATTTTTACATAAAACTGAATGTTTACATACTATTATCACAAATGCCTGCAGTAAAAATTTCTAAATTAATGGCAAATTATTTATGTTTTGTATAAAGTTATTAACTATGGGTTTGAAGCTTCACCTCTGGAAACACAGACTGGGGGTGTTTCAGAAAACTGCATGATGAGGAGCATCATAACTTGTACTCTTCACCAAATATGGTTAGAATGATCAAGTCAAGGAGGTTGAGATGATCAGGGCATGTAGAACGAATGGGAGAGAAGAGGAAAGCATACAGGATACTGGTTGGAAAGCTACAGGAGACCACTGGGAAAACCAAGATGTTGGTGGGTGGACAATATTAACCTTTAAATGCTGGGCTTTTGAAACGGTGGTAACTTTGACCTGGCTGGAGTTTATTTAAATGCCCGCTGCTGGTGCGCGTTTAAATGCATGTTGCTACTCTGCATTTAAGTGTCCATTCCTGTTAGGGTGCTTAAACAATTTTAAACACTGTGCTTAAAAATGCTGTGTCTAACACAATTTTTTATGATAAATGGATGGAATTAACTTTGTATCAGCAAAGAACATAGTGTCGCATGTTACAACGGAAGATTTGAAAAATTTTATACAAAGAATTATACTCTATTTTCAGTTTTTTTCTTTTAATTTTGATGTGTGCTGCAAAATTGGTTTCCCAGTTCTTCACAGAGTTATTCTGCATTATAAATTCGTTTCTGTTTGTAACACTTGACAAATTTTTGCAGTCCCTGGTGTTACAAAACAGATGGAAGCAATAAAATCATGTGGTCTTCTGCTAGCACTGCTTACACTCTTCGGATTTTCAAATCTTTTGACTAAATAACAGAAGAATGAAAGCATGGCTATTCAATAAATAGCTAGAGGGGCCCCATCTGCAGCGTTAAGACCTTCTGTTAGAGCTACAAAAGATTATTTCCCTTTCTATGGGTGTGAATATACAGCTGCATTGTGCCTGAGATACAGAGTGTGATCTGTTTTCTGTTCGTTCGTAGTGAAATCAAATACTGTAGTTTCACTTCAGCCTATATATACATCAAGCAGATAACAACAAAAAAACGAATGTATATCGAATTTTACTATATATTTTTAACACATTAATCTGCAGAATCTGCAATAAAAGTACTGGCTCGTGGATTAGTTTGGGCATAACTCATACGTATACTCTTTTTGTTTCTTTTCTAAGGGACGCAACAGAATAGGTGTTTTCCCTCACCTGAGGACGGAAACAGATCCAGTTTCCGAAACGTCGTGTTTTTCTTAGTTATCTTAAAAACCAGGACGATGTATAAAGTCCAAAAACCTAATATCTCTTTTTGTTGTTGTTCAATTAGGTATTATTTTAATTCCTCTATTAGTGTTTTACTCAAGTTGGTCTGGTAATTACTACATTCAAAAATAAATATTTAGGACTGTGCATGTGCTTCTACTAGAGGCATATGCGCGCGCGCTTCCACTAGTCGAGTTTAAACATCTGGCTGGCCAAAACGGGGTACTCTGGCCACGACATCCTTACTCATCACTGGCCTGATGGGGCACTTCAGATGCTAAAGGTTAAAATGGATCTTAGAGAGATAGGATGGGATGGTATGGACTGGCTCGATCTTGTTCAGGTGAGGGACAAGTGGAGGACTGTTGTGAACATGCTAATGACACTTCGGCTTTGACACAGTGCTAGGAAGTTCTTGAGTAGCTGCATAACTGGCGGCTTCTCAAGAAGGGCTCCTCAGCTCCATGAGCAGGTGATAAAGGCATAAACACTGTATAACAAGAAGCAAGATGTAGACAGCTTTTTAGAAAATTGTTTGTTGCTGATATTTCTTAAGAATTATGTACAGAAATAGTACAAACTTGTCACTCACTGAACTGGCACAAGTGTCACATTTAATATCTTCAAATCACCTTCATCACAAACAGAATTGGCAAATTCAAACAGTTTTTGGGTGATACATATCACAAAACCAAAAATGAAGGTCATGCTTTGATATGTATATATATGACCTCCATTTTATGCCTCAGGGAATAAAATGCCTAACTGAATATAAGGCAAACCTGTTATTTAACGTTACTTTTGTGAACAATTTTACAACTCATACATGAAGCTGGTACATGTCAGAAGCCAAATAATAACCCGGAGAACTGCATATACAAACACCATTTTACTCATGAGCTTATTAAATATGGAAAAAAATTAAGAAAATGATCTTTAAACATTTCCTGAAGAAACATAAAGACTTAATACTGAAGCTCATAGGACTAAAGTCAAGAACTCCATATTATGGGCCATTTTCTTCCCACAGATCCAATTTTTGTTGATATCCCTGACCTAGATCTCACGCCCTCTCCTTGTACTCGTAAGCAGCAACTCAGCTAATCAAGATGTCCTCTGCTCTCAGACACAAGACAGAACAATTGAGAAATCTGTATTATGAGCTTGAGAGCATCTCGGCACCCACCACATCTTAAGGTCCTACAGCCTTGGGACAGTGTGATCTTGCATGCTTCTTGTAATCTTGAGATTTATGACAGCCAATGGCATTCCTGTTGTCTTATACAGGCTGACCTTCCATAATTCCTACTGAATGACTAATATATCCACCCCCTTCCAAAAAAGAGAAGAGGACGAGAAGAACAAGAAAGGAACTGGTTCACTTTTATTGAAAACTGTACAAGAAAATCAATCACATAAAATATAATACACATGGTAGAAAAAGAACCTTCAGTGATACATGCTAGATCATAATATTAAAACTGCATTCCTTGCACTAATTCTTATGAGAAAATACTCCACACATCCTACCAAAACTGGCAGTAAAGCATGCACCTCAATAGCCAGAATTTGAAACAGAAGAATAATGATAACCAATTAAAACCTAGTGAATCAAATTAACAAATGGCCTGCATTGCACGAATGTGACGGGTTCATGTTACTTTGCATATTTGCATAAATGTGCAACAAGCTGCATTTTCCATATGAATGACAGCATACATGTCACATGCAAACGACTCTTCTCACTTGTGCAAATGCAAATGCATATTTTAATTACTTTTAACTGTAGATGAGAGTTTTCCAACTTTTTTGCCAGTATGCACAAGCATGTGACTTATGAGGTTACTCTTTTGATGGAAACACTTGTTGCATACACTAAACACATATGGTTTCTCAGTGCTATGAGCATTAATGTTTCCTGAAATTTGAGAGCAGAGTATAAACTTGCCCACAGAATTCCCACGTGTAAGGCCCACCACCTGAACACACTCCAACCTCATGTTTTGTAATTTTGTGTCTCTTCAGAGTACATTCCAAAACAAAAGACTGTTCACATATTTCGCACTCATATTGGTGTCAGCTGTCTCCATCAACAGGTATATGTAATTTTGTCTCTTCAGAGTACATTCTGAAACAAAACTGTTTACATATTTCGCACTCATATTGCTGTCTGCTGTCTCCATCAACAGGTATATGTTTTGTAATTTTGTCTCTTCAGAGTACATTCTGAAACAAAACTGTTTACATATTTTGCACTCATATAGCTGTCTGCTGTCTCCATCAACAGCTATATGTTTTGTAATTTTGTGTCTCTTCAGAGTACATTCCGAAACAAAAGACTGTTTACATATTTCGTACTCATATTGGTGTCAGCTGTCTCCATCAATAGGTATACGTTTTGTAATTTGGTGTCTTTTCAGATTATATTCCGAAACAAAATACTTTTTACATATTTTACACTCATACAGCCTGTCTACATCAATCAGAATATGATGCAACTGAAGCTTATGTTTCCATAGTGCTCCTTCATACTTATATTGTACATTGCATATATTACACACACATATAACACTCCTCGGCCTTTTGCTTTCCCTGTAGAATCAGCAGCACAAGTGGCTCGTTCATTAGATTGACTGTCATTACACTGAGGACGGATATCTATCTGAAACAAATACATATGAACAATGATTTCTTACATTCAGTACCATAGCCATGACAGGAAAATTTTGAGCACATGTGTGTCTCTTCAGAGTAGAGTCCAAAACAAAAGACTGTTTACATATTTTGCACTCATATTGCTGTCTGCTGTCTCCATAAACAGGTATATGTTTTGTAATTTTGTGTCTCTGCAGATTATATTCTGAAGCAAGAGACATTTTACATATTTCGCACTCATATTGGTGTCTGCTGTCTCCAGCAACAGGTACATGTTTTGTAATTTGGTGTCTCTTCAGATTATATTCCGAAGCAAAAGGCTTTTTACATATTTTGCAATAATAATAGAGCTTGTCTACATTAATCAGAATATGATGCAACTGAAGCTTATGTGTCCGTAGTGCTCTTTCATACTTATATTGTACGTTGCATATATTACACACATATAACACTCCTCTGCCTTTTGCTTTCCCTGTAGAGTCAGAAGAACGAGTGGCTGGTTCATTAGATTGACTGTCATTACAGTGAGGAAGGACATCTATCTGAAACGAATACATATGAACAATGATTTCCTACATTCAGTACCATAGCCATGACAGGAAAATTTTGAGTACATTATTAACATACCTTTTCTGCGTCTTCTCCCTCATTAACATAATCCCTATCCATCTGCTGATGACCATCACTCTGAAACAAATTGAATGACAGAGAACAGTCACAGGCTCTTGTGAACTGGGTAATGAATATTTAGTTCTCATAAAATGTGGGAAAATCCTGGAGCATATAAGCAAAAAGAAACCCTCAAGCTCTCTACTCCATGAAGTTAGTTTATGGTCAGAATAGTGCTGCTGCATAGAACTTACTTTTCTCTCTTCTTCACTGAAATGATCTGTATTCTTCTGCACAGCAGTTTCACACTGGAATAAATACATAAATGACAGAATGATTTCCCATGTTCAAGATCAGAGTAGTGTTAAAAGACATCCAACTGCATTCTTTTCATACCCCTTCTTCTGCTATTCCTCCAGCGTCACAATTGGTGTCCTCCAGTGGAATTATGTCACTCTGGAACAAATATATTTTAAGAATGATTTTCCTGTTTCATGAACACAACAATGTTTAGTTTCCAACTGCATGTATCACACCTCCTCCACCACTAATATAATTTGCTTCCTCTTGTGGAATTTGTAAAATGTAAATGGTTTGTAAAATGTGCAATAAAACACATTAGAAATTCCTTTATTACTTATGAAGTATAAAAAAAAACTGTTTGAAATGTGATCTTCCATGTTCAGTGCACAACTCACAACACTGTGATACTGTTCTGAAAATTGACTGGCAGGTTTAAATCTGAATATTCCCATTAATAAAAGGCAATGTTTTAGGTTAATTGACTTTTCAGCTAGTCTGTACATTTAGATTGGTTTCCCACCTTCATATGAGAGAGAGATAGAGAGAGAGAGAGAGAGAGTGTGCGTGCATTTCAACTGCATTAGTTTAATACCTCTGCTTCTTCTTCTTCTTCTCCTCCTCCTCCTCCTCCTCCTCCTCCATCAGTGATATGATCTGCATCCTGTAAAACAGTTTCACCCTGGAACAAATATATGTATACGTTTTCATACAGAATGGATTCACACTTCCATGGGGCTGGCACAGGTCAGTCAAAATACTGACTGTGGGGTGGGCAGCCGAGAAACTGGGTTTGATTCCCAGCAATGACAAGAGTTTTCTCTTCCCCGCATCATCCAGACCGGTTCTGGGCCCCATTACCTTTTATCCAGTGGGTACCAATGCTTTTTCCCCAAGGGAGATTTCAGGATAGCGGCATTGGTATAGCTACTGACTACAGGCTGGACAATCGAGGGGTCGCAATTCCAATCCTGGTAGGGTCAAGAATTTTCTCTTCTCCACATCATCCAGACCAGCTCTTGTGTCCACCTCGTATCCAATGGGTAAAGTGGCTCCTTCCCCGGTGGTAAAGCGGCTGGGGCGTGAAGCTAACCACTCACCTCCATCCACTTCCAAGGTCAAAAAACTGTGGATCTATACATCCACTCCCCCACCCACCTTCATGGCGCAGTGTTTAATTAGTTAAGCGCAGAGACAGCTTTACCTTTACTACACAATTTTTGGTTCCTGCAGTAACAAACTGTCTACTGCTAACAGGTTCCATGAATATAAATTACACAGTAGGTCATGAATGAACTAGCAGTCTTTTGTTTTAGTATATCATGTGTATTCTGTGAATAATGATAATACACTGAATGTGGGTATGTGAAGTCAAGTATACAATAAAAAGAAGACAGTTTACATTTGATTATTTACGTGTCATTCATGGGAGATTGTCTTAAACTTGCCGCTCTCAAAGCATCATCTGATAACATGTAGGACTGGAAAAGCATACTACAGAAAACGGGGGAGTTAAAGAATGAAAGCTTACGTAACAAATGTGGAAACTTTCCACTGAACTGTCAACAGGTGTCACAGCAACATTTAAAATATCAAATGCTGAAATGCAGAATTGGCAACTTTTTATTTCCATTCATATGGTCCACATCTTTATCATCACCATCATATCAGTACCATTTCAATATTTCAAACAAATATACAACTAATTTTTAAATATTTTATGTTAAAATTGGTAATAAAATTGTACAGTTTCCTTATATAATTGTCTGGACACCCCTGAAAATGGCCTATGCACTGAAAAATGTTCGTCAATATGATCGTTTATTGATTAAAGGACTTGTTACATTTGATGATGGTTTAAAATTCAACACACGAACAGTGTAACACCAATAATGGCTTCAATTAAAAGCAGTGTCAAAAGAGTTTCAATTGTGAGACATCACACACATACCTCCTCCTCCCCCCTTCCTCCTCCTTGACCTTCAGTATGATAATATGTGTCTTCATGCAGAAATGTGTTCATCTAAAACAAATAGATATGTAAGATTTCCAACTGATAAGCTCCAAACTGTATCAGCACAGCTTCAACTGCATGACATCACACACCTCTCCTTCCCGTCCTCCTCCTCCTCCTCCTTCTCCACCTCCTCTTCTTCCTTCAGTGATGTGATTTGCATCATCTTGTGAAAGACCACCACTCTGAAACAAATACATTTCAAAAGACAGTTTCTGACTTTCATGTCCACAGCAATGTTATGACTCTGAATTACATGATTTCACATACCTCGCCCCCTCCTGCTTCAGCATGATGATCTGTATCTTCGATCACCATCACAGTGTCATCGCTTGTGACTGTCTCGGATGGTAGTGTTTGTCTGTTTCTGTCAGTATTCAATTCAATACTCTTAAAAGAGAAATGATTTTTACAATGAGAACATCTTTCACATTCTAAATGTTTATATCCTATGCTGATAAAATAGTTGGAAAACTTGCTACAAGTTACTTCAAATTTACAGCCATGGAGAGTGTGAGTATAATAAGAAATTAGTGGATGAGTGAAAAACATTCAGAGTAAGTGGGATAAGTGTTCCAAAATCTCATATGTGCAAGAAAGGTAAGGTATAAGACTCTAATCTTGATAAGTGTGAGGAATGCAGGAAGCCATTAAAGGCACGGTAGCAGCATAAATCAGCAATTACTACCTGAGCCAAAACATTCAGTACACAGTGCACAGTGGCTGTGCAAGCTCCATGTCATTGTCTGTATCAGGCGTAATATCATTGTACTCAGCATCAGTTTCACTGTTGAGATGATGTTTTGTTCTGTAGAGATACAAGTGCAATTGCTTTAGTCGTTTAGTTTAGTTCAGCTGAGTGCTACACAAATATGCTAGTGGCCAGTATGTTCTGAACTGATGCCATAGCAAGTAGATATATCTGTTTCTAGCCCTTCCTCTCTTGCCCACTACCTCACCCCGCAAATGTCAAGATTACAGTCTGGCACAGTAAGCCAGATGTGGAGATAGGGTTACACAATATGGAGAATCACTGTAGTGTCGTAGCCCACTTTTGTCCAAAAGTGGGGATAGAACAATCTGGCACTCACAAGGAACAAGATTTCTGAATAACCACTGAAGTGACTGGTAAGGAAACTATAATTAGATTAACAGTGACCTTTACACTGTTGTTTCTGTCTCATTTTTTTGTTCAACACTTTAACCTCCCAGACACAACTCACTACAAAATAACAGCAGCGAACCACCTCTAAATGTTGTTACCTACCAGACTGAACAACTGTCACAACCAAGTGCACCCAGTGCCATAAAGTTTACAGATTAACACAAGTAATTGTAATTTCATCATTCAGATAGAGAACGTGGCTTCCCTCACACAGCAGGGAACCTTTAGTTCTGATATGTGGGTAACCTGTTTACTTTCAAACTTATTTCACTTGGTGAAAATTAAAACATAACCTTTTCATTCAGAATTCTGGGTGTGTTCTATAGAACACAATTTGGATGATGCTAGTGGTAGGTATATGTTGTTATAACTTCAAAATCTCTTAATTATTCCTATGCATTGGTGTTCACAGATCTGGTTCTTGGTCTGGTTTGTTGCATTTATTTTTCACTTCATCTTCTACCTCAGTTTCAGGTTTGTCCATGAATTATCATAATTTTTGTTGGACATTTCCCTGTTATCTAACATTGACAAACCCCACTCTCAGGTGTATACATAGCTGTAGTTTTACTGATGCAGATTACCTAGAGATTCATGTTAGCTCTTTCTGAGGAACTCAACAGAGTACATGCCGCCCACCCCAAGCTGAGAATAGAAACTGATCCAGTTTCTGAAACAGGGTGTTCTTTATAATACCAGATGATAGCCACTACCAGATATCCTGGTTAAAATCTGGAAAACAGACCTGCTGAAGCAGAGGACTTAAGCCCTTGCAGCCTAATGTCGAGTGTTGCGGCACACAACACCATGGCAGACTAAGCTTGGATTTCAAACTGAAACTGATGACATAGCTACAAATACGTTACACAGATGGCAGCATCAATCACGGCCTTGGTACTTTCATAAACTGTGACGATACATGTTTAATATAAAATATAGGCTCTAAGAGTCATGGAATCCATCTTAAATTCAGTTCTCTGGATCTTCAAAGTGCTCAAGAAAAGAAATTTAAAAGAGTTCAAATCCCTTGCTCCCAGACGATCAGCTTGAGAAGAGTGCCGGGCCCACTACACATGACGTTCTATGTGCTTGCAAGTCAGAATAGAGTGAACAAAACGCTTTGATATGCATATAAAATGTGTCAGCTACAGGGCCTAGTTATGGGCAAAGTTTCAGATTCAAACCCTCCTGAAATATTTGGAATAAAAGACAGCCGGACTCACAGTTGAGTTTACTAGTCAGCCCATATCTTTTAATGTTCCTTTTGCCTCTTAATATGAAATGTATATTCTGAAACAAATCCTTGATAATCTACTTTGCCATAGGAGAACTTCAAATGCCATGGTAACACTCACCACATTGTGCCTCAGAGAGGGAAATGTTTCTTCCACCCGACCAAGAACAATTCTTGGGGTCCTTGTTGCCAAACATTGTAGCATATCCAGCACCCTTGCAACACGATGGTCAGTGATTAAATCTAATATGTGACAGTTCATGACTGCTGATAACATCTCACTGATAGAATCCTATGAACATTACATGCAGCAGTCTGTAACTGTTTCCACCAAATAAACAGGATTGATTTACATTACTGACAAATGTTTATAATGAAAGTGATATCTCTCAGTATCAAAAGCTAGCAGTTAACATTTCTAACCAGTGTTTGTTATGTATATCATGGATCAAACTTTTTTTAGTATGCAAATAAACACGTTGCTGCAGTCGAGACAAGCATAAAGGCGAGCCTACTACTCATTAGACCTGGAGTAAGTACATATCTGCATGATAAAAAGTCATTTACAACCTGGCAATGCAATTAGTATGGGCACAACATTATCAAAGTTATAGTGACACCTACGTCATGATTCAGATTTATAAATATGTATATTTTTCTGATGTAATAGGAAATCTACATTACGTTTTATGTCACATGAGAATCCAACAGCATTTGCACTACCTACTTCTTCAATCATACAGTATAGCTTTAGCATCAATAATGCCATTAGAGGTCAAAATATGAACATGCAGTAGAATAATCACTCACTCCCGCTTGTAGAATCCTAACGCCGTCACCACGAGGGTTATCTGTTTTCACATTATTACACAGTTAAATTACCTGTGGCATAAAGCAAATACAGCTGTTACTAGTTACATTTTAAAATCAAAATTGAACTGGTGCACTTTCATCACGCCATAAAGTACAACACAAGCAGGCCCATAATCTAACTCATCTAACCGGCACTGGTGGCATAGACGTCATCGATCCTTTGCGAATCGCCATCTCTTCGTCGGCTCATTTTGTCAAGAGTTGTTGTTCTAGGTTATGTATTGTTAGACAATTCAAAGGTTCAACAACAGATTATAATAATTTCCTTCACGAGGCCTCTCTTGTACATTTTTGATTGTAGCAAGTGATCCGATTGGAAATTCTTATCTTCAAAGAACCTAGAAAAACCTGCATTTTAAATTTGACCTTTGTCGTGTTTAAAATATATTGTGTTACTTGTCAATTAGTATTCCCATTCCAGGTTGTTTAACCTATTTTGTTCCTTCATAATTAAGTTAAGTTTGTTTCGGTAAGTTTGGTTAAATGTCTTTATGTACGGTAATGCTAAATGGCATCAAAATACGTGTGCTTATTTGTGTGAGGATGGGATGAAAACTGAAAACAGGAGATACAGGCGTTCAGACCATGTTATGTTAAGATGAAGTATTGTTTATTTCAGAAAATATGGACCCTATAAAAGTGGAACCGGTTTCAGATGATGAAGAAAGTGCATCAGCACAATACTGTGAAAGTAACGTCGTCTATATAAAACAGGAATATATATCAGAGGAAGTGCCCTTTTCTTCAAACAGCCCTGAAGATGTGGGTTGACATTGTAGTTAACATATGACTATCGTAAAGTAGATTTGAATACAGCTTGTGTTTACATATTACAAACCATACCATGGTCCTTACATTGTGTTCATGATCCTCATAGATAGGACATCTTGCCATAACAGATCAATAGCGTATCACTTTTGCAACAATGTGTTTTCTACTTTGGAAGTAAAAATATTCCTAGATTTTCAGAAAAATCTTTGAGGTAGCAATTGTAATCCTAATTAAAAGGCCTGTCATTCGTACAAACATCAAGCAGTAGCCATTATATCATTTAATCCTGCACAATAGGAGTTAAGTTATCGCTAACACATAAGTTTACACTTCAACTGAAGCTCTGTCATTTTTCAGAATTAAGCCTATAGGTTACTGAAATCTATGTTAATGCACATGTTAGAAACATGTTTATTAAAGTTTGTATGAGAGCAGCTTTATGTTGGACATGAGGTTCACATGGTAGTGGCTATGAAGATTACAGTCGTGTGGATTTGTAATGATGAGTAGTTTGGAGAAAGCCTGATATTTTGCAGGAACACATCACCTCCATCTTCGGAATTTCAGCAGTCTGGATGCTGTGGAAAAGAGAAATCTCTTGCTGTTGGTGGGAATCAGCTCATTATTTCTTAGTCATCCAGCCTGTAGCCTAGTTACTATACTGACTGAGCCGCTGTTCAGAGTAACATTCATATCTGTCCGTTCGTTTATCCTTTTATCGCCATAGTTTCATAGTGCCATGACAGATGTAACTGAGAATTAAAGTTTCGAGTGTAAGCACGAGGTGAAGTATGACTGGTAAAGCAGAATGTACCAGCAAAAATTAGAATATTTCATTTTGGATATTTTTGCCAAAATATACTATTTTGCTGATGTTTAGAATTCAAAGAGTTTTGTGTTGCATAAAGATAAATGCAGTTCTGTGATTTTTAGAATGATCGCAAGGAACATGTACAATGTAAACAAGAAGATATATTGCCAGAACGAGAAGTGTCTGTTAAGGATGAGGATTTGTTGGGGTGAGTAAAGAAATACAATAATCTTCAAAACATATGCCTTCAAGGTGTAGAGCTTAATTACTTAAGCACAAGGACAACTTTACATTACCTTACATCACATTATTCATTCTTTACAGCAGCTTCTCTCACTGTTACAATGTTGCTATGTTCCATCTACAGGAATTTTAATATAATGGTCTGTATGGATCTGACTTGAAGAGATGGGCAGGGCATGTAGCGCACGGGAGGATGTAGGATTTTGGTGGGAAAACCATAAGGAGAGAGGTCACTAGGAAGATATAGACATAGATGGGAGGGTAATATTAAAATGCATCTTGGAGAAACAGGATGTGGTGGTATGGAATGGATTCATCTGTTTCAGGAGAGGAGCCAGTGGAGGGCTATTGTGAACATGGTAATGCAAGTAACTAAGTCTATGGCTGGATCCTTCTTGAGAACCTAACAGTTGCTCGTCTACTTAAGAATTTCTCAGCAGTTCATGGAATCAGAAGGTTCATTACCATGCTCACAACAGCCAGACACTGCTCCCTATTCTGAACCAGATGAATCTAGAAAGCAGTCTTCTGGGATTTGGCACTGTGTATATGTGGTGTTAACCAACGTTTCGGAGGAACGTATCACCTCCATCCTTCTACCCTGAAGATGGAGGCGATACGTTCCTCCGAAACGTCGGTTAACACCACATATACACGGTGCCAAATCCCAGAAGACTGCTTTCTTCATAGTCACCGCCGTGAAAGCCTCAAATCTTACACAGATGAATCTAGTCCACACTCTCAAATACTGTTTCTTTAAGAGCCATTTTGATATCCTCCCATCTATGCCTACATCTTCCCAGTGGTCCCTTTCCTCCAAGTCACCCTACAGCTACTTCATTTACATCTGCATTTATTTTCACTAAATGGATCCACTTACCTCCCCATAGGGCTGGATATAAAACATGTCACACATTAGAAATTCATGATGGCTACACATCATACGTCCTTGGCCCAATAAAATATATAATCAGGCCTTATGCACACAGCAGAAGTTGTCAAGACAAAACACACAGTCCGTGGAAAAACCACTGTCACATTCAACCCTGAACAAAATCCCTCATTTCCAACCATAAAAACTCTATGCTGTGCAACTGCACACATTGGCCAGCCATATCATCAATACAGTTTCACTGTAACGTATTAAAATTCATAACAAAAACACATCATACATACTGCCACACTTACAACAAGCAAGTCTCAACAGTGTGTAATACAAACACACAGACCATTTATTAACTCCTAACTTTTTAGCCCCTTGCATGCTCGACAAAGTCGTCAATAGAGTAAAATGAGTCACATTGCAAATAATTTCGTAAAACAAACCAAAATTGATTTTGATCATTTTTTAAAACTGTGATATTTGACAGCAGTGTCTTAAATAGCTTGACGCCTGAATAATACACTCCTCTCTGATTGGATGATAAATGTGTTGAAGGTGGTCATTCCTTCTGGTCCCAATCACATATACAGAGTTAGTGGTTTGAAACCTGTCCAAATTAACAGCATATATCATCACTGAGAGCAGATATACACATGGCATTGGCAGTATGTCAAGCTTTTTAAATAAATCTCTACATGTATGAGTTGGGCCCACTCCCATCATTATTCTTATTATTTTCTTTTGTATAACAAAGCCCTTATGACTGTCTGTTGTATTTCCCCAGTATATTATTCCATATTTCACCACTGAAGGATAATACGCATAATATACAGCTTTAAGGTTATTAATATTTAATATATAAGATAATTTTTGCATTCTTCCTTATGTATGCTGCATGCCTTCTCCATCTCATAATCCTTCATTTGGTAACACTAATTTGATGAGGAGTACAAGTTATGAAGCTCCTCATTATGCAGTTTCTCCAGCCTCCTGTCACTTCTTCCCTCTTCAGCTGAAACATTCCCCTGTGCTCCCTGTTCTCAGACACCCTCAGTGTATGTTATATACATGTATAATTGTACAGTACTTATTTTTGAGAATGTAATTACCTTATATCTTAGAAGTCCTGCTTCTAGCGTTACTAAAGAAATTAAGACAATCAGAATAATCAGATAAACACTCCCTTGCCAATATTTTAGGCTGTTCATTCAGCAGTTCCAGCACACCCAGTCCTCGGCTAACACCAGTTATACCAACATATTCAGTTTAACATGGTTCTTGAAGTTACAGCCAATTTTCTTCCGACACAACTTTAAAGCAATTTCACTTCACACAGCGCTTTTCAAGAATACATCTCCCATGCTAATCAGGGACTTGTTGCACTAGGGAAGAAGGAATGCTTTTCCTAATGATTTTAATTGGAAGACTATAATTACTGTAAACTGCTGTTAACAACTTCATGATGGCAAAATGCTTAAATCTCAGAAATTGCAAATATTAACTATAGAGCAATTCCAGTGCATGGCCCTCTGCCTGTGTGTCTCATAGCGCTGCTTCCTACTTGGGCTTGCTGTCCATCCACACATCCTCTATTATAATTTCAGTGACCAGTCAGCAGCCGATGCCAGCCATGAGGACGACACAGGCAAACAAGATGCCACTCAGCCCTTACCCTGGAGAGTCTGTGGGAGTGAAGAACAAACCACTAGTAAAGAAAGAACAAAACAATATTCAAGCATAGCTCACATGCAACCTTTCAGATGTAAAATGTGTAACAAGAAGTATGCGTCACGTCAAACTCTTGAAAGACATCAAAAGTCCCATTCAATGTACTGGTGTAAAGACTGCAATGATGAATTCTGCAGTCAACTGAATTTGCAGTTGCCTGCTGAGAAAAATGGGACACCTTTTTATGTCTGTGAACTTTGCAATGCAAATTTCACAAGTGCAGTAAAGTTGCGGGTCCATGTTACTCATTTCCACTGGAGACAGAAGCCATATTCATGTGATCGATGCACAGATGTTTCTGCATCCAGTGATGATGTTGAACAGGTACCCTATGAATGTCTTCTATGCAAACATAGCTTTCCATCTCATGGTTATCTAAAGCAACATATGAAGCGCCATTCATAAGATAAAGTATATTTGTGCAGTACGTGCAACATTTAGTGTACTGACAAGAAAACTCTTTCACTAAAGATGTATACAAATGTAATATTAATTTTCCATTTTGCCACTGGCCTATCTGGGTAGCCAAATATACGCTGACATACAAAGGGGGACCCAAAAATAACCGGAACCGACCTGTTGTGCGCGCATGCATTGTAGTTACGAGTTGTGCTGCTAGGTGGTGTTAGCTGGGGGTCTCCCGCGACTGTTAGTGAGCTGGCATCAGTCTGAGTTAAGTGGTTTGTCTGTGGTGCTCTGTTGTGTGCGTTCCTGTTTCAACCCTTTGGCGATTAGTGAGATGGCCGACCAGAAGGAACAAAGAGTTTGCATGAAAGACTCATCGCCAGTCACAATTCTTTCAAGAAATTCTGGATCGTTCTGCACTTCACTCTTCAAGTCGCGGCAAACATTCACGCGGTTTTCTCTTTGGTCATCTCCGAGCAAGCGAGGAACAAATTTTGCAGACACCCGTCTCATGTGCAAACCTTCGGTTAAAATTCGCTGGACCGTGCTCCATGAGATGTTCGTTTCCTCAGAAAGTTGGTCAATGGTCTTTCGACGATCTTCATCAATTGCACGTTTGATTTTGGCAATGTTTTCGTCATTTCTTCCTATCAAAGGATGCCCGGGGCGTGGCATGTCTTCTGTTGACATGTTGCCAGATTTGAAACGGGAAAACCACTCGTAAACCTGTGATTTCCCCAAAGCATCTTCATTAAAGGCTTGCCGAAACATCCCAACAGTCTCTGCTGCAGTTTTCCCTAACAGAAAGCAAAATTTCACGCACACTCTTTGTTCCTTCTGGTTGGCCATCTCACTAATCGCCAAAGGGTTGAAACAGGAACGCACACAACAGAGCACCACAGACAAACCACTTAACTCAGACTGACGCCAGCTCACTAACAGTCGCGGGAGACCCCCAGCTAACACCACCTAGCAGCACAACTCGTAACTACAAAGCATGCGCGCACAACAGGTCGGTTCCGGTTATTTTTGGGTCCCCCCTCGTATTTACCTACACACCTAAAGGAACAGTAAACGACATGCAGAGTGGAGGTATATCTCCATGCATTTTTAACTTAGGCACTATATGATGGCAAATGGTAAGCTTAATACCCTCCCCTAGCCACTTTATCACCAGTGTCCATTTGGATAAGGGGCAGGGTGTACCCCAGAAGTGGTCTGGATGCTGTGGAAAAGAGAAATCTCTTGCTGTCGGTGGGAATCAGCTCATGATTTCTTAGTCATCCAGCCTGTAGCCTAGTCACTATACTGACTGAGCTGCTGTTCAGAGTAACATTCATATCTGCCCGTTCGTTTATACTTTTAATCGCCATAGTTTCATAGTGCCATGACAGATGTAACAGAATTAAAGTTTCGAGTGTAAGCACGAGGTGAAGTATGACTGATAAAGCAGAATGTACCAGTAAAAATTAGAACATTTCATTTTGGATTTTGTTGCCAAAATTACTATTATGCTGATGTTTAGAATTCAAAGTTTCATGATGCATAAAGATAAATGCAGTTCTGTGATTTTTTTAGAATGATCGCAAGGAACGTGTACAATGTAAGCAGGAAGAAATATTGCCAGAACCAGAAGTGTCTGTTAAGGATGGGGATTTGTTGGGGTGAGTACAGAAATAGAATAATGTTCAAAACTGAAATTTTTAGTATATGTAATATTAAAAAAATTTTCCTATTGGATTTGAAATCCATATTCATAAGATTGGCAGGGCATTTAGTACACAGGGGAGAACAGGAATGTATACAGGATTTTGGTTGGAAAGTCAGAAGGCGAGAGGACACTAGAAAGACACAGACATAGATGAGAGGGTAATATTAAAATGGGTCTTGGAGAAACAGGATGAGGAGGTATGGAATGGATAAATCTCTTTCAGGATAGGAACCACTGGAGGGCTCTTGTGAACATGGTAATGAAACAAGTCCATGGCTGGATCCTTGAGAACCTAACCAAATACTGTACCCTATTCTGAACCAGATGAATCTAGTCCACTCTCTCATATACTCTTTCTTTAAGAGCCAATTTGATATCCCCCCATCTATGCCTAGGTCTTCCCAGTGGTTTCTTTCCTTTAAGTCACACTACAACTTCATATGCACTTCTTTCTCATTTGTGCTGCAAGCATTGGCCATCTCATAATCCTTCATTTGGTAACACTAATTTGATGAGGAGTACAAGTTATGAAGCTCCTCATTATGCAGTTTCTCCAGCCTCCTGTCACTTCTTCCCTCTTCAGCTGAAACATTCCCCTGTGCTCCCTGTTCTCAGACACCCTCAGTGTATGTTATATACATGTATAATTGTACAGTACTTATTTTTGAGAATGTAATTACCTTATATCTTAGAAGTCCTGCTTCTAGCGTTACTAAAGAAATTAAGACAATCAGAATAATCAGATAAACACTCCCTTGCCAATATTTTAGGCTGTTCATTCAGCAGTTCCAGCACACCCAGTCCTCGGCTAACACCAGTTATACCAACATATTCAGTTTAACATGGTTCTTGAAGTTACAGCCAATTTTCTTCCGACACAACTTTAAAGCAATTTCACTTCACACAGCGCTTTTCAAGAATACATCTCCCATGCTAATCAGGGACTTGTTGCACTAGGAAAGAAGGAATGCTTTTCCTAATGATTTTAATTGGAAGACTATAATTACTGTAAACTGCTGTTAACAACTTCATGATGGCAAAATGCTTAAATCTCAGAAATTGCAAATATTAACTATAGAGCAATTCCAGTGCATGGCCCGCTGCCTGTGTGTCTCATAGCGCTGCTTCCTACTTGGGCTTGCTGTCCATCCACACATCCTCTATTATAATTTCAGTGACCAGTCAGCAGCCGATGCCAGCCTTGAGGACGACACAGGCAAACAAGATGCCACTCAGCCCTTACCCTGGAGAGTCTGTGGGAGTGAAGAACAAACCACTAGTAAAGGAAGAACAAAACAATATTCAAACATAGCTCATATGCAAATTTACAGCTGTAAAATGTGTAACAAGAAGTTTACATCACGTCCAACTCTTGAAAAGCATCAAAAGTCCCATTCAGTGTACTGGTGTAAAGACTGTAATTATGAATTCTGCAGTCGACTAAATTTGCAGTTGCCAGCTAAGAACAGCGGGACACCCTTTTATGTCTGTGAACTTTGCAATGCAAATTTCACAACTGCAGGGAAGTTGAGAGGACATGTTACTCGTTTCCATTGGCGACAGAAACCGTATTCATGTGATCAATGTGCTGATGTTTCTGCACCTAGTGATGATGCTCAGCAGATGCCATATGAATGTGTTGTATGCAAACATAGTTTTGCATCATATGATTATCTAAAGGAACATCTGAAACGCCACTCAAAACTTAAAGCATATTTGTGCAATACATGTAACATGCAGTGTTTCACACTGGCCATGTTCAAAAGTCACTTAGCAACCCATACTGAAGAGAAAAGTGTTGCACTAAAGACATATAAAAGAAAAAGTAAATAATTCCGAAGGCAGTTAAAATGAGAACTAAAAAGTATGTCTGCTCTAACAAAACTAGGGGAAATGCCTAATATTCCATATGGATTGAAGCAGAGATGAATTTGATGACATTGTGTGTTTAGTTCCAGGTCTTCTTGCACAACGCATAATTGTTCTTGCTTTTCTACATCATCTCTGAGGGTACACAATACCCTGAACAGGCAACCTCACAGAAGGAAAGTCCTCCATGTTCAACGACATCTCCAGGATGGTGATTTTTGTTCCCACTATGTGTTGAATAAAGAATTAGCAACTTTTTACTGATAACATAATTATCTACATCACCATGTGATGAAGCAAATTCAAATATGTTTTAGACACGATATACCAGTACTGTCAAAGACAGCATGCTAACTTCTTTGTTTTTTTCAAAATGTAATCACTTCTTTGCACTTTTAAGGGATTGATTAATTATTGTGTTGAATCAAGATGAATTTAGACATTTTAAATAGAAACGTGAAGTTTGTTCTTTTGTATTTCTGTATCTTATAAGTCTCTCACAGGATAACAGAATTCTTGTCATTACACAAGGTCAATGTGGAATAACCACACTTGAAATGAACTGTTTTGATTCATTTATTCACTCATTCAGAGACATGCTATCAACAAGAATCCTGCTTTTATCAACTGCTGAAAATACTCAATTCTGGAATGTCTGTACACTTTCTAACACTGTCAATATGAAATGCAAAATACTTCTTTTTAGGCTAAGCATGAGAGACAACTTTACCAATTTTAAAACAAAGCACTGCTCTACTACTGTAGACTAGACTAGAAGAGAAGATTCTTTGTGATTAGTGGTTTCAAAATCTGTTTTGAGGGAAAAAATAATGAAAGTTGTTTAGCTTTCAGTTAATTGGAGTTCATTTTATAATATACTAAGGATCGAAATAAATATAGAAAAAGAATTAAAAATGTATTACATAAAGTGTTAATGCTTTCTGACCATCATCCATGTCACATCATTGTGCCAGCATGCGTACTGGTTCATCAGGCCCTGGTATCACCGTGCTGGTGTAGCAGCTGACTCCAGACTCACTTTCAGGAGCTTCTCACTGCATACAAAATGAGGCTGAAGCAAGTTCCTCTCCCAGTTTCACTGATTTAATTATTCATCCACATCGAAGATGTAGGTATGTGGATAATATTAAAATGGATCTCAGAGAGATGGGATGAACTGGATTGATCTAGCTCAGGATAGGGGCCAGTGAAGAGCTCTTGTGAGGTAATGAACCTTTGAGTTCTTCCATGAAATGTTGGGAAGTTTTTAAATAGCTGCATAAGCGGTGGCTCCTTGAGAAGAGCTCAGCTCCACAGTTTGTTAGTTAGGCTTATGAGATCACCTTGCTGTCTGTCTGTGTAATCCCCCCCCCAGTGTTGTTGCTAGGCATCAGCTCAGTAAACACATTCCCATACCAATGAATACACACCCCCAACAGTAAAAGAAATGTTGGACGCATCCATTTTCTACACAGCCCAGGTTGTCCAAAAGGAAAGTGGGCAATTAGTTCTTCCCAGAACTTCTTGCATTTAATTAAATTCATATATCCTACACAATCACCTGATGACATAAAGTAACAATCACTGTCTATGGTGATTTGGAAAGGTTTGCAGCTGAGTAAACAGTTCTATCCAATTTCAAGCCAGCACTCTAGCACTGGCCTTGACGGACTGAAGACAACATCAAACTTGCCATGGTAGCTGGTTCTAGACAGCAGATAATATCAAGATCAATTTGTTAGTAATCAGCAGCATTGCTGGCAAGATAGTCACGTCGTCCAATGTTAGAAGCTTGCTTATTCTGTATGGCCTCCAGTTTTGGGCAGTCCGTAATGCGATGACCCAAACCACCACAATAACTGCAACCTCTTTCATCTGAAATGTGACAACAGTTACAAGCAATCACTTTCACTGACCTGAAATGTTACTGTTTGTATATAAGCAAACTAAGATTGGATAAAGTCCAAATAAATACCCTTAAATGTCATGTCATGCCTTAAACTTTGAGCATGATTTAGTTCTAACACCTTGACATTTTTTATCATTGACTGCACAAAGATGTACATAATTATAAGAAATTTTAGCATTAATTTCTGTCACAAAAGAAACGCAAGTTGTAGGAGCTACAGTCTAATACAGTTTCTTTGGGCACCAGTAGCTCTGAACACTAAGATGAGGTAACCCTTAAGTGAAGAACATATAACACCAAGACTGATGGGGTTCACTATATTTTAATGTTAATCGAGAAAAATTAAATGGGTTCCACTGCATATTTTTTGTGAACACTGAGTTTTCATTCCTCAAGGAAAATCTATGTCAGTTTAGTTATTGCTGATTGCCTGTGTCTAGAAGAGACTGATGCTGGAATTCCTAGACGAATGACTCAGCTGCTGTGTCTCATTGTGACTCACCTCCAAGATCCAAGTATTTCTCATTCTCTGACTGCAGAGCAGCGAGGAACGGCGGCACCTTCTGTCTCGCTTCCATCAGCAGATGTTTCAAATCCAACAGCACCGACTCATCATTCGCCTTATTGATGAAAGTTGTAGCAATTCCAGTCTTGCCTGAGCGTCCAGTTCGTCCAATTCGGTGCACTGCAATTCCAAGTGTTGTCACTGAGTACATGTTAATGCTTAACACTTCAACCAGCATCTTCAGCTTACCAGGGGCACAATATCAAACCAATGTCACACAAAGAATTGAGAACTCACCATAATTCTCTACATCATCAGGCATGTCATAATTGATAACATGCTGTACATCAGCAAAATCAAGACCCTTAGAGGCGACATCTGTTGCCACCAGCACATCCTTCTGTCCCTTCCGGAAAGCCTCAACTGACCGTGACCGCTCCTCTTGATCTGTAACATGCACAAGCAGCACACTGCATTTCACAAAGCAGTCATTCAGTTCTATGAAACTATTATGTTGACCACCCACCACAAAGAAAGTTACCATTTTGGAAGTACCTTCTAAATCTATCATCATTAACCCTGAAGATGGAGGCAGTATGTTCCTCCAAAATATTGGAAACTATTTACCAGACTACATGGTGCCACATCTCAAAAGACAATCTTACCAGACTTTATTTTATTTTACACATTTATGATCTCTGATTTCTTCTTCCCACGCTCGCTTCGGGTGCAACACCCACCGAGCCGCGGGAGAGAGGCAATTTGCAGCCTAATAATTAATCAGAAGCACTGTGTTATAAGGGGACCAGCACACCAATTCAACTTTTACCTTTGCCCCCATGAATAGCCACAGCTTCAACACCCTTCAATAGCAGGTATTCATGTATTGCGTCCACGTCTTGCTTTTTCTCTGCAAAGATGAGAACTGGTGGTGGGGTTTTCTGCAGGCACTCCAAAAGGTACACAATCTTTGCTTCTTGTTTCACATATTCCACTTCCTGCAAAAAGAACGTATTTATTACCCTGAAGATGGAGGCTGGAATTCCTCTAAAATGTTGCCAACTTTCTACCAAACTACATATACATCACATCTCAGAAGACAGCACTCTTCATAGTAACTGCTGTGACGACCTCAAATCTTGCTTATGTATTTAAATTTTGACTCTTTCAGTGCTCTTACTGCTTGTGTCATGTAGGTGTTCACAGTGTTCAAGCAGGAGACATACATACATGAGTATCATTCTTTTGAAGAGCTCTGCAACTGACGGACCAGAACAGTGAACAGGAATTCAAGTCTTCATCTACATCATACCTGTATGACGTTCATGGAAGCAGCACCAGCACGACCAACATTTATTGTGACTGGTTTCACAAGCGCAGATCTTGCGAAGTTCTGGATTTTCTTAGGCATTGTTGCTGAGAACAGAAGTGTCTGACGTTGACCCTATATCATGTCAAACGAAAATATCAGGAATACAAGAATTACTGAAACAAGTACATTCACAAATGAGCACTAAGCAAATGAAGAAGGCACGCAAACACTGCAGTAACATAGCACATATTCCTGTGTTGCATTCAGGAGGCTATAGGTTACAAGCTCAACCTGAAATTGTCTACTCTGACTGAGGGTCCTGTGATTCTCCTCAGCCTGTCCAGGCAAATGCCAGGACACTTCCTCAGTGGTCGTTTTGAATTCATACGCTTTATCATTCAAGATCACACTGACAAAGATAGTACGTAATGGTACACCATGTGTCGGCCATGAACAGAACCCACAATATGCATCCCATAGCCTGTCATTACACACTGACTGACCTATAAGTCACACCTAATGTTGTACAGTATAGTTACACTAAATGTGTCCATGGCATACATATTTATGTCTATGGTTTATCCAAAGATGCTTCCGATGACTCAGATTATATAGCGTCAAACAAATGATTAGAAAAGATGTGGAAGGAAGCAGCTGTGGCCAATTTGAAGTACAGATCACACCATGAGTGACAGCACGCACTCAAAACCAATATTTCATTCTTCTGTGTCGGGTCACAAGGACAAGTTCATCTGGTCAAAGTGCAGAGAGATGAAGCAGGTCAGTCTATTGCCTGGTTTTGTACATGGCAAATTGTCTGGTAATATGAAAAGGTTCCTCCACAACACTCTTCCGTGACCACAAGCCTTCACTTGTCATGTGAGTTGTACTATCCCAGCATCTGTCCACAGGAACTGAAGAAACCATGATGAACCACTCATGATATCTGGTCTCTGGGCTGACTTTTGAACCCAGACCTCCCAAATACAAAGCAGAAGTGCTAACTATGTGGCCATGCATTCAATGAACATATCAAACCATTAGCAATGCATTACGAAAATTGAAGCCCCTCTCTAACGAATCAAGTAAACACGACCTTAAGAAAATCATCTGCTGAAGTCACTCAGAGTTGTGTTCATAATGGAGAGTTACCAACCTTGAAAAATGAGAATATCGTTCTGACATCTTCCTCGAAGCCCATGTCTATCATCCTGTCTGCCTCATCCATGCACAGGTACCTGTAACATGTGCCACGGTTTTAACTTGGAGCACATGACACTCCATGATTCCAGTCATCATGAATACAAAGTCTATACATACTGTCAGATGACACCTGACTCTAACCTGCAGACATCAAGTCGTACCATCTTCTTGTCCAACATGTCCATCAGCCGGCCTGGTGTGGCAACCATAATGTGGACACCCCTACCAACATAACAACCATCATAAGGTTTGTGGTTCATATGGCAGTGTTTATAAAGATGGCTGTTTTCCATGATGTGACATCATGTCGTCTATTACACAGGTTTCTCTGAAATATTGGCAAATATCTTCCAGGCCATACAGTGTCACATCCCAGAGGACAGTAATCTTTGTAACAACCATTTTTCCACCCAGGGAAGGTCTGTTCTCCCTATCCCAAAGTAGTACACTATAAAGGTGTATGGGTGGTGAGAAGGTGATACTAGTAAGAGTTGACTGGTAAGCTTAATGTTTTGATGCTCTGTCCCTGCAGAAACAACTTACTAAGCACAGAAACTGTAGTGACAGACAAGTTTCAAACCCAGCCAGGTTCTAACATAACACTGTTCTCACTTATCACGTGAATGTCCACATGTATGTACAGACCCCCATGAACATGTCACAGGCAACAAGTTCATCACTGACCTACTTATAATTTCCATCGATTCTGAAACAGGTATTCCACCAATGGCAAGGCAGCAACGTATTTCCTGAGGCAGACCTGTGCAGTAATGTGTGATGATGTCATGGGTCTGCTTCGCAAGCTCACGAGATGGACAGATGACAAGACCTGTGCCAATAAAGAGGTAAAATGAAACATAGCAGAGTCTGCAAACCTTCATGCAGATTGGCCAATTCCAAAGGCTGTCTGGCACTCAGATTTGGGCAACTAATGACGAAAGAAAGCTGCTTGGCTACAGTACAAGGTTACCAACATCAGTGGCAAATGGAGTTAAAGCTTGTGAAAACTAAGAAGCACAGCAGACATAATAATTTTGAAAAATTGATCACCTCTTAAAATTATTCAATTTGAATTTGTACCAACTAAGATGGCTCTTTTTAGCTGATTATTTAAGTACGCTGATGATGCTGACATCCTACAGCATTGGATGTTAGGATGACTGATGAATTCTGAGCTGGAAGGGGTTTGGAAAAACAGTTATGGCCTAATCAAGACATTATCCCAGGATGAGCACATGACCCCTCAGTCAAGAGAGCCAGTGTCACAGTCAAGATTTTAATCAGCACCTCCTGAATGCAAGCTGAGACCACTGCCCCCACAAGATCACAGTTTTGAAGCTATGAACCAGTGCCAGGTTCTTGTGAGTATGGTATAAGGTAGGGAATTTACTGACAAGACGAGCAACTATAAACTGGTCAAGAAGGAATATGTTTTGCAAAGTGAGTGAGTTTAGAGTACAAAGCTGCTGAAGTTTTGAAATATACGCTCAAAAACTGGAATGACAGGTCAGATTCTATGAGTTCTCTGGGTTGTGATGTTACGTAGCCTTGTAGGTGGATACTGACATTATGGACAAACTTCAACCCTCAAACTGGAGGTACCATGTTGGTATCTTGCTACAAGACTACATAGTGTCACAATCCAGAAAACTGACAGTCTGAACAATCGCCCTTGTGGAAACCCCACAACTTGCATCAAGAAGCCGAACTTCTAATTCCAAAACTAAAAGCAAATGGAACAAAACCAAGTAAACTACACTGATACAAAAACTGAACACTTACCATATGGACCCTCATTCTTGATGAACGGCAACCGTGTCTCCTGTTCCAGACAGAACATGATGAGTGGCAGGACAAACACCAAAGTCTTACCACTTCCAGTGAACGCTATTCCAATCATGTCACGCCCTGACAGCCTGACAGAGAACAATACCATACTTGAACCATGACCAGTGTGAACAGTGAACTGTTCAGGCTGAAACTGTCCCCCATTCATGGCAAATTCAGGTGGAAGCCCATGCAAGAGGGATGGATCTGTTTTTAGTGGGCACATGCAACAGATGTGACTCTTATAATGGTGGTACCTATGTTACCTTTGCAGGTTATTACTGTTGTTCTTGTCTTCATCATCATCATCATCTGTGATTTATTTAATGACACTGTCAGCAACTAAGACCATAGAATCAATCACATGACAGTAAACAAATTATGAACCAGGTGGCATCTTGTAAGACGCAGCCATGACCTAATTTGGGGCATTATCTGGGAATTTACCACAAGGGACTGAGAAAATCACAAAGGGGATTAGTCAGTGTCACAGCCAAGATTCAAACCAGGCACCTACTGAACATGTGAGATGTGTTACTGCAAGAGTCACCTTATTCAGTACATTTGCTAACAGCATTGAGCCCTTTATGCCACTCACTTCACAAGAAACACTCACTGATCAAGTGACTGATAGAAGATTAGTTTTCTGGTATGTGAGAACATGCAACATGTGTTTACTTTGAATGAAGAAGGCAAATGCCTTCAAAATATCAGTCCTTATCAACCACACTGCATTGCACCACCTCACAGGAGACAGTAATCTTCACAGTTACCAGCATACGAACCTCAAATATCATAACTGACCAGTTTGTACATGACTTGGCCAGTTATAACTGTCAAGGCATCAAATATTGGAACCAGAAGAAAGCAACTGAAGCCAAACAATTTAATCCATAAAGAGTACTGCCTCCTAGGATGCAATGCCATGCCACCATGGAGTCTGGTAGAAATCTGCCAACAAATCGGAGGAACACTAGCAGACTTCCACCAGTCTACATGGCATCACATCCCAGTTGATAATGCTCTTCATGCGCCAGGCCACGTTACTTCTCTTCAGTATATCATCAGTACAACCAAATTGTGACACTCTGTGACGTATCATTTTATTGATCAGTCACCAAACCTGAACCCAGGACAATCAATACTCACACAGTTGGAATGCCCTGAACCTGTATAGGTGTTGGCCGCACAATGCCCTTCCGCTCCAGACCAGTCAGAATGCCACGTGGAAACTTCATCTGAGCAAATGATTTTATGGGAGGGGGCACATCCTCCCCCTCGACTAATATGCATAGTTTCTTGCGCACACGGTTGTGACGTGTTTCAGACATTGCCAAGATGTAATGTGGTGGCTTCCAACTGAAAAACAGAATAAACAAACACTGAAATATATGACACACAGGGATAACTGCAGTCAACGCATCTGACTATATTTACCAACGAAAGGATATCTTCAATCTAGACGACTCCCCACAATTTAGCTAACCAGTTATCCAACAAATGGAAAATCGACAGCTTTATGTGCACCTCGATAAGTCTCACATCAATTTACAGCAACACGATATTCTGAACTCACATGTATTTCTAAATATTTAACCCTTTAGAGCCCAGTGGTTACTACTGTACTACTTACTATACCAAAAATCTGCATTCTGCCAACAGAGTGCATCTGTGTGTTCCGTATGGTTCTCACAATAAACAGCGGCTGTTTCCATAAACAGCAGCTGTTTCCATAAACAGCAGCTGTTTCCCTAAACAGCATTAACCGGTTGGGCTTTGTAGTGGAGATGTAATGTGTTTCCTGTGAGGTAAGGACTGAGTTTTCTGCCCACAGAGTGAATTTGTGTGCTCCATATGGTTCTTACAATAAACAGTGACTGTTTCTCTAAACAGCATTAACCTCTTGGGCTTTGTAGCAGAGATGTAATATGTTTCCTGTGAGGTTCAGGCTGGATTTTTATATATTATTTAAAAGAATATGAATCTTTGAAGGGTTAACTCCCTGAGATCCACATACATTACTGCATGACACTCTACTGTGTGAAATTTATTTTGTCTGCACTACGGGACTGTCAAGAGTACTTCCCACTTTGAATTAGAACTGTGTCCTTGAAATGCTGAACCGAGTCATAAAGAGAACAAAATATATGGCCTTCTCATTTTAATGCAGCATAAAGTCTTATATGAAATATTGACAATAGAAATTCTTGCCAGAAGTACCTGTTACATCATTCTTTGTTTTTCACACCGACTTATATGATTTATTTGTTGGTAGTTTATTTAACAATGATGTCAGTAACTGAATCATACAATGATTGGTGAATACTGAATTGTTTAAGATGTGGAAGGAATAAGCCATAATCCAATTTCTCTAAATTTGCCTGGAGGGAATGAGAAATAGCATGAAAAATCTCTATTGGAATTGTCAGTGTTCTTCTCCAGGTTCGAAACAAACAGCTCGCAAATATATGTCACAAGCATTATCATGCGAGCCAATATGCTATGTGTTTCACATCTGCACATGCAGTACAGTATGTTTATTATGGTGAATGACTTAGGAAATGGATTGCTGCATTGGAAATACAGTAAATCATTGCTAATCCAGTTACAGTTAATCCAGATCAAAATGTGAAAAATGAAAAAGGCTATTTACAGTTGAGTGTATACTTTAAAGGGGGCTCATAATATCATACTTTGTTCAGGCACTATGCTTCATGCTGGAAGGTTGCAAGTTCAGTTCCCAATGAGGTCACTGGATTTTTGAGGTCAACTCAGCCTCTAATGGAAATGAGTACCAAGAATCTTCCCTAGTGGGTACAGGGCAGTCAGCATAAAAGGCTCACAACCTCACTGCAATCTGTGAACCAACTGTCTAAAAAATTGCGAGCATTAATGTCTCACAACACTATGGGCCTCTGCAGCCTGTTATAGGGGTAGCTTTACAATTTTTTTTACATACTTTAAAAGACATATGACATTTAAGAAGGCAGATGAGTCACTGTCTGTTCAGAAGAAACTTGACAGTTTCCTTGAACCTGCATTAATGCATTCAAAAACAAGTACAACTTCTGAGTCTTCTATAGATTAATAAATGTATTGTCTTTTTATAGTTTCTAAATAAAGGCTCTACAGTGATGTTTTTCTCATTTATTTTCATCAGCACTGCTTATGTGATTAAATTTTCCATTTCTTCATCTTCAAAGTTTTTTTAGGGCTACCTTTTGCTTCATTAATCGGATTATTGCTTAATAAGATGACCTCCCTCAAGTACTCTGGATTAGCGAGGATTTATTGTCCTGACATAAGTCTATATCATGGACAAGTGCCTCTACTCTTTAAGAACCTGGTTATACTTCATCAACCCCTCTCACTCTGCTACACCACAAGTTATCACAAAGGACCTGGCATATATAATGTGACTTTCCCATCTGTTTCCTGTGTTCTTACATGGACCTAACAGATAACACCCGAGATACTGAACTTTATCCCGTACTCTTGCCAGTACGTATGGTAGCCATGGCCATTATAATATGATGTGAACATGTCTGCAATACAGTTTTAAGATGCAATGTGAATAGACATTCCCGATCATTATTCATCTGCTAATCCTATTTTAAAGTTCCAGTTACTACATTATGATACTGGCAGGGAAAGCAACCATATCTGACAGCAAAGAATGGGTAATCCTGCTTGTAGCAGATGTAAACATCACAACATAACCTGTCAAACTCCAGCAGTCAATCAGTTCTTAGTACAGTACCTTGTTTTGATAGGATCCTCGTACTGAATGCCCTTTGCCAGTTCTGCCACTCCCATCAATGCCTTCTTCTCGGCGACACTCTCCAAGATCTTCTCTTCCTCCTTCAACTGGCGCTCCATAGCACTCTCCTTCTTGGCTGCAAATCACACGGTGATCCAGCGATGAAAAGCATCATGACATGAGCTAACTTGCTTGACTAGAGTAACAGTGTGCAGGTGACATGGCACCGTATGCCCATGCACAGTGTACCACTGAAAGACATGCCTTCTCTTACCTTCCGCCAGTTTCTTGAGCTCGGTGTGCTGATCCAGCAAACTGATGTTGGATTTGCGCCCCCACACCTGTCCATCCTCGTCATCCTCATTGTCATGCTCATTCTCACTTGAGGACTTCCCACGTTGACCACACTCATCTTTCAGCTAACAGAAAGCACACACAGTTTTTCCTCTCTGTGGATTATTTAAGGATGCTTTCAATATCAACACTACATACTATTGGTTGGAAACAGCTGTGGCCTAACTGGAGGACTGCCATTGAGGAACTGGGGAAAACCCATGAAAACCCTCAGTCACAACAGCCAGTGTCACAGAGAAGAACTGACCCAAGCACCTCCCAAATACAAATCTAGACTGTTACCTCTAGACCAACCTGCTGGCAATACATATGGTTAAAGCAGTACTTACACATCCGCAGATGATGGAAGTAACTTCAAGAAGATACTGCCATGTTAACCAACTTATGTTACAACTGCCAACTGTAGAAAAATATTTATAAAACTAGACCCAAAACCTAAACTTAGAATTTGCCTTCAGGAGCAAGTCTGCAAGGTAAGACTTTTGCTTTTGTTTTTTACCAGGTTAGGCCTTTAGTTCCATTTTGGAAATGTCAGCCTTTCAGTTCTGTTTATAAAAAACAGACATCTAAAATTCTGCAAGGTTACAATTTGGGTTTGTGTTCACATATAGTATACTTCTATGATTATTAGCACTAATGTAGTGGCTGACAAGGCAGTAAGTTTTAAATTTACTTCGGTCATCCACAAACACAAATTCCATCGCAGCTCATAAACACTCTCAACAATTACTTCTTTCTTTTCTCAGGTTATACATACTTTCCTTGCCATCTGTGGGGGCAATACAGAGTGAAATCGTCTTCTCATTTCTTTTACAAATCACACAATTCAACAGTGGTTGGAATGCCACATCTTTCAGCAGTAACATACCAGTATTTGTTTGGTTCAACCCAAAATGGCTACACATTGATAAAACTGGCTCAAATGGTATAAAGCTTCTGACTTGCTTTCGCAAGGAAACCAAAGCATCATCTGTTACCTGACTCAGTCGTCCAAGTTTCATCAACTGCTGCTTCCTCTCCTTGACTGGTACATATGGCACATAATCATCCTCAGATTCAGAGCTAGATTCATCTTTTCGGTACCGCTAGAACATGAAGTCATTCAACTAACATAGCCAAGTTGCACAAGACCTTAGGTTATGTAACTTCTTAATTTGGTCATGCTTCCTTGAATGCTGTTTTACTGGCAATGATATATGCACTCATAAATAATCTTAAGTTTTACATGTATTAAAAACAGTATATCTTAACACATGCGAAACGTTTACACTATCCAAGTTAAAACGGTGCCTCTTAAAACTTGTAAGCCATATTATGAAATTTGAGAACTCGATAAAAGTTACGAGTTAATTATGTGTATATTTTCAGTTTCATAGTAGATGATTGCTTTACAGTGTCCTTAATTCTTTAAGTCAAGACCACTGTATATTTTCACATATATTCGCGCTTTCGTTGCATGTAATATTTATGTCACACTTAGCAACTGTGAGGAAAATCTGAAATGTTACATGTTATACGTTTATCTACTTCCTGCTCTCATGAAGTTCTTTGCGAATCTACTAAAATGGGTAGAATTCTGATAAAATCATCCAAATTTAAATTATTTACGTTTTTAAATGACTAGTATAACTTCAAAGTGAGGTTATTACAGCCATGATATATAATTTCAAAATTATACGTAGCTCTTACTTTCTTCGGGGGTGCTTCGAGTTTTCTTTCTTCTGGGTCCATTGCAATTTTATCAATGTGGAAGTCTTCGTTACATCTGCTACATTTGTAACATTACACCTGCCAACGCATTCTATTACAATTTCGCCAGCATTGAATTCTTACCACGCTTAACGTGTCACCGTTGATGGCGTTGATGGAGACTGATCCATGGTTCAGGGCCTGTCGGGCCGTTGTGGAGTAGAAAAAAATATTTCCCCAGCATGAAATCGAACCCCACCTGTTCAGCATGTAGCACAGTCACTATACCGACTGAGCTATACAGTTATTGTTTAAAGCGGTTAGTCGCTGGCTCACGACGGTGGCCCGGGTTCGAACCCGGGTCAGGTCACGTGGACAAAGCGGCACTGAGGCAGTTTTCTCCGAATACTTCGGTTTCCCCTGCCAATCTTGATGCCACCAATTGCTACACAAGCCATCATCTATCATCTGGGGCTGGTACAATAAGTTAGTAGTGGCTGCAGTACCAAAGGGACTGTCTCACACCAATAATAATAATAATCCCTGCCTTAAACAACTTCGCAGTCTTTAACAAATATGTTAATTTGTAAAAGTTAAAAGAAGGCAAATTATCGCTGTGCTTAATTAAACACAAAGCCATTAAGATGTGAAGGGGAGTAAACTCTTAACCTTGGCACCAGATGCTGCTGATGGGCCCACATGCCAGTCTGGGTGCTGTGAATGACTTCCTTGCTAGGAAGTGCATACCAATTCTCTCGTGGCCAGCCTGTCATTTAGTTGTTATACTGGAATTTTTAAATTTAAACTTCGACTTGTAAGAAAACTGAAATAAATGCTAAAATAACTGTCTCCATGACCTACATTCACTCTTAGCATACTCCTCAGCTAGGCAAGAAATCCTCAACCCTCTGCTGAACCTTGCTGTTCATTATTGTGTTCACAAAACTTCAATACTGTTTCTTATTCCGAGCCAGACGAAACAAGTCTATACATCTAACCCTATCCCTCTAAGATATTTTTTAAAATCTCCAAAAGTGGACCCACATATAAACTTACACCCTCCACCTGCTAATCCAACATAGAGTGTATAGAACATATGGACATTCAGTATGGGATGAAGAAAAGGCATCATCTGTTAAGTTGCTTTCATTAAATTTTGGGGAAAAACGGTAATGTTAATTTTAAGGACCTTCACACACAAATAGGGCATGTTCCCTCTAAAACCCAGACAGAAAGAACAAGGTGTACTGCTTGTGAAGCCCTTTTTCAGTACCACGTGGGCCAACACACAACCTCAACCATTCTGATGCAAAACTTCAATATACTTCTTTCAGCTGCTTTCCCATTATCCTTATGCAGAACTGTCAGAATTGAAATGTGTTATCTTCAGTAGATTTGATGACCCACAAATATGACACAGAAAAATTCAAAGTCTAAAATGCAGACACAAGGATGACAACAAAACTGGAAATAGACTGCCACATTATCTGGACTATAAGACATCCCTAGGCTTCAGTGGGAGAATTTTGTGTGTGTGTGTGTGTGTGGGGGGGGGGAAGTTTTATTGCATTCGTGCTATAAGATGCAGGGTAATTTTAGGCCAAATTATCCAGGGAGGAAGGCGTGTCTTATGGTGCAGAGAACACAGAAACTGATATTCTGTTAACAGCTACGAAGTCTAGCCAACCAAACTGATGTTGAAAAGAATCAATAACATCTCACAATTCAGAGGTGGAGGCTTTCATGATGCAACCCTAAAAAGTTCATGATGATGAAAAGAGTAACATTTTTATATTAGTTACTATAGGATTCTGACGATGGTGTATAACACAGAGATATTGGGTTTTCAGACTATATCCATCGTCCTGGTTTTTAAGATAACTAAGAAAAACACGACGTTTCGGAAACTGGATCTGTTTCCATCCTCAGGTGAGGGAAAACACCTATTCTGTTGGGTCCCT